GTGGGGATGACTGACCACTGGCCTTAGGTGTGCCTCCTGTTAGCAGAACTGCCTCAGCATTTTCCTGGCCAGGCCCCAACTTTTGAGCTATGGGCTCATCGCTCTTTACAAAACCTTAAGATCTTTGTGCCAAAAAGATGGTGGTTCTCTCCATGCGCCTAGGCCTGAGCTGAGCCCCCCGGATGGTACTGGTAGAGACTGAGGCAGCTCGGCATAGGGTGGACCCTCCCCCTGGACCCTCTTTTTCTCTTCCCTAGGAGAGGAGGAAGGACAGGGGCCAGGAGCCCTCCAAGTCTGTCACCAAGGAGAAGGCAGGGTGGACAGGTAGTGGGGGAGGCTGGCAGAGTGAAGGGGCCCCATGGGCAGCAGGTTCGAGGGAGGGCCCTTGCTTAGCGCCTCGTGCTGGAGAAGCTGTCTGCTGAGCTGTAGCTCCGGCTCCGGCTCCGGCTCCGGCTCCGGGAATTGGAGCTGCTGCTACTGCGGGTCCTGCTCCGACTCTGACTCCGGCTCCGGCTCCGGCTCCGGCTCCGGCTCCGAGAGTAGCTGCGACTTGTGGAGAGGCTGCTGCTGCTGCTATACCAGGAGGAGGCGCTACTGAGGCAGCTCGAGGAGGTGGGGCTGGGCCGGTAGTAGGGGATGGGGCGTTTCCGGGCACTGCAGAGACCAGAGGAAGGAGGCATGAGGCCCAGACTTTTCCTACAACAACTCAGGAGCCTCACCCTGACCTCCAGGGAAAGCAGTATTTCTCCAATTTCCCCAACAGCCCAGAGACCATCCAGGGGAAAGTGCCAGCTTGATGCTATGTCTTGATAATTTCCCTTTTAAACAAGGCAAGCCAGGGCTCAGAGCCTTCAGCTGACAGCAGAATCTGTATCTCAGCTTTCATCATAGTTTTGTTTTGCTTTGTTAACTTTTAGGAGCTCTGGTGGTGTAGTGCCTACGGCATTTGACTGCTAACCAGAAGGCCGGTGGTTCAAACTCACCAGCCACTCCTCGGAAGGAAGGTTGGGCAATCTACTTCCATAGTGATACCGCCTCACAAGCCCAAGGAGGGGTCGCTATGAGTTGGATCCAACTCTATGGCAATGAGTTTGGTTTTGGTTTTTATTTACTTTTACCAAAATAAAACCAAACCCATAGCCATTGAGTCAATTCTGACTTACAGAGACCCTACAGGACAGTGTAGAACTGCTCTATAGGGTTTCCAAGGCTGTAATCTTTACAGAAGCAGACTGCCGCATCTTTCTCGCCTTTGTCCTGTGGAGTGGCTGGTGGACCTTTTGGTTAACAGCTGAGTGTTAACCACTGTGCCGCTAGGCTTCCTTTACTTTTACTAGAACGTGCTATTTATGGTGAGAGAGGCTGGTTTCCCAATTACTGTTGTTGTTGTTGTTGTTGTTATTTGCCGTCGAGTCGGCCCCAACTCAAAGCGACCCCTCCTTGGGTTTCCGAGGCAGTATCACTACGGAAGTAGGATTGCCCAACCTTCCTTCCGAGGAGTGGCTGGTGGGTTTGAACCGTCAGCCTTCTGGTTAGCAGTCAAGTGCCTTAGCCACTATGCTACCAGAGCTCCCCCCAATTACTGTAGTCTGTCTTAATTTTCTTTAAATAGATATGTTGTTGTTGTTATATGCCGTCGAGTCAGACCTGACTCATAGCCACCCCTCCTTGGGTTTCCGAGGCAGTATCACCACGGAAGTAGATAGCCCCATCTTCCTTCCGAGGAGTGGCTGGTGGGTTTCAACCGCCAGCCTTCTGGTTAGCAGTCAGGTGCCTTAGGCACTACGTTACCAGAGCTCCTAACAGTAGTACTGTAAGTAGGTAGACAAGGCAAAAATGGTAACAATGATGCTGGTAAATGGAGTTTGGGAAACACTGAGTAGATTACTCAAGATGGATTCTATGGGGTTGGCAGAGGAAACCAGGTAGCCTTTGGAAACACCACTCTCCTTATCTCAGCCTTGTCCTCCAAATTGACCCCAAGTACAACTTTTGTCAAGGCAATGAGTGTAGGAGCCCCTACTGTGTGCCTGGCTGGGATAGGATGCTCTGGGATGTTTGAACAGAGGACACCATCACCCCAGGTCCTACTTTCTGGGGCACACATTCTTGTCCTTCTTCAGGTCATCCCTAGGAAGGAGGTACTGGGCTGCCAAGATCCCTCTCTCTGGGGGTTTCTGGACTAAGTGGCTGACCCTTGTAGGGTCAGAAGGAAGAGTCCAAGCAACTATCCTTGAGAGCCAGTTTCAGGGAGGCATTGCTGATTCGCCCAGTTTTCAAGGCCTGACCAATTTGCTGCCTCTCAGACCTCTGGCTTCTGTTCTAGGGCTTTTCTCTGTTAAGGCCCCACCTGTTACAGGAAACCTTACTCACCTATTCAGGCCATGTGATTAATATCCAATACACACTGTGCTCTGGCGTTTGGCAAGTATGACAAAGCCCCTTCCGGCCTGCTCCCTCCATTTCATCCTCATCATAGCCCAGGAGCTTTTTCCTCATCATCTAATGGTGAGAAAACTGAGGTTCCCTGGGTCAACAGACTTTCCTGGAGTCACGTGGAAAGTGGGACTGCTGGGTTTGAATCCTAGGCCAGTGCACTGCCCCTTACCGCCCAGGCTCGCTCTACGTCCTCTCAGCACCTAAGTACCCAATTTTTCCCTCTCCACCCAGGCTTTAAGGTATATTTATGCCCAAGTCTATTTAAACCTGACATTAAGAACGTGTGGGTCTGAGGGTGGGATGTAGCCAAAGCCCTAGTCCCCTCCCCAGGCAAAGGCTCCGCCCCGTTGCTGTATCCCTTTTCCTGGACAAGCCCCACCCCTTTCTCAGCCCCGCCCCCAAACCCTGGCCACACCCTTAGGTGCCGCCCTTTTCCGCAGGCTGGCTCCACCCTTTTCCCCTTCCATACATCCAAGGCCTGGCATTTAAGCGGCGGCGGAGGGGGAACAGCCGGCGGGGGAACAGCCGGAGGGGGAGATGCTCCAGCCTGAACGGCCTTTCCCCTGCTGGCCTCACCTCGTTATCCTGCGGGCCTCCAGGTGGCTGGGGGAGTCTCTCCTGCGCTTCCTCATGGGCGAGTAGGACCGACGTCTCCG